TCTCAGAACAAGTTTTCAGAGAGAGCGCAGTGAAGCACCCCTGCCCCATGGCTTACTCCTTTAAGAATAATTACTGAGAAACTTGAGCTAAAGGAACCTTCTCAAGGTGTTCTAGTCAGTCCCTCAGCCAGAGCAGATTTACCTAAATGTTCTCTAACCTGTTCTGAGAAACGTCCAAGGCGTATGACACCCACCTCCTTCCACTTGCAGAAACCTCAAGTCATTGGTAGGCAAATTTATGGTCTCATAAAAGTTGATATACATCCGAATGGCAGATCCTCTTAGCTCAGAAATGTTTTCTGAAATTGCTCTCCTCAAGTCTGTCTTGTTAATATAAAGTCCAAGGCACAATCAATCATTCCCATCCCATCACATTGACCATTTGAGAATGATTACTGAAATTCGAGTCGAAAGAGCCGTCGGAAGTGATCTAGCTGCAGGCAAACGTTGCAGGTTTTCACCCTTTTTTGTTTTAAGGAAAGCAGATTCATATGAATTGTACAAAAAGAAGCCAGCTTTTGTAAATGTAGCAGAAGTTGATATTTCAGACACCACAAGGATCATGGTACTTTTAGAGGGGTATTTGTGCAGCTGTTTTACAGAAAAAACCCCGAATTTGACATTAACATATTAGGAAGGAAAATGCAAGGGTGATGGAGATTGCCAAGTTCTCAGGACAGACAGGAGGGTGGCCAGCTCTGTTGAGCTGCTGGCCAAAGTGTCTAGTACAGAAAATGAATAATTTTCACATTCGTGTTTTGAGAACTGATACCACTTTCCTCTGCCCGAGGTGTGGGCTATGCCACACGGTATTATGCCAATCAAGTAAGCACTCCCGGTATTTCCACCCAAGCCTGTGTTAATGAGATGACATCCAGTGCTCCACTGCTCAGCCCTTAGTGATAAACCCTGGTGTTCAAAGACCATCTGAAAAGCGACAGGGCTTTGCGCAGGCTGAAGGTCTCTCGTTCTAACAGTGCGAAACTGCGAGGCGCTGGGGGCAGAGCAATAGGAATACCATTTCTTGACCGTAGGGTTTAAAAAATAGATTCTGTGCAATGTGTTAAGCAGAGCCCGCGTTATAATGATGGGAAATACAGAAGAACTTTAGATGTGTTGGAATCATCTGACGACTACTGAAGTAATCTTCAAATCCACATTGCAATTATGGCTGGAAGTTTAAAAGGATGGTAACACCTTTTCAGTAAAATTGAGCTCTCAGGAGAGTGATTTCTCCTGCCTCTGGGTTTTAAATCGTTCTGTGCATTATAAATCACTCCTCCAGAAAACCGTGCACACAGGTAAATCTTCCCCTTAACTGTTGCAGGTCGTGACTGCAAAAATGTTGCATTTGAAGGTGTAATACATAAAGAGGTTTGGTGTCCTGAGTTACGTAATTCTAAACTTGGTTGTGTGGGCAGAGCATGCAGCGACATCAGTTTGTTCCTCGAAGAATCGGTTTTAAAATGTTTGCACAGAGGTTTTTAATCAGCTCCCTCTGTTTTGAGAAAATACTCACTGAATCTGAAAGGCGGAAGGACCTCCAGGACTTGCCTTCCGCAAGCCTCATTTGGCCAAGACCATTGTGCACTACAGATCCCCCCCAGATGTTGTTGTGTAAGGACAGTCTCTTCACTGGGGACTAAAATCTCTCCCCCGTGTCAATGAATGATCAAATGCACGTGCTTCCGTCTCTCGTGGTGCCTCTGGTTTTATAGGAGCAGAGGTGGGTTCTTCAGGTGAAAGGGCAATGGCTGACCTTGAGGAAGTACTTGATCACCTAGCTGCTTTCTGTCCCTCAGTGCAAGGCTCTGCTTTTGTCACTTGAAGAGTTTCCTTTCTTCAAAGGCAGGCTAAAGGTAGCAGCTTGCCATCTCTGTATGTAAACCTGAAGTCCGAGTGTGCTGGTGCGTGGATTTGTCCGAAGTGCCAGAGAGAATTTATACCCGATGGTTAAAACCTGCTGCCTCCTTTCCCCTCACAGACACGAGGAGATAGCTTTTGTTCAGATACAGCACGGTAACTCCACAGGAGAACGCCTGGATATTTTGAAACACTTCAGTGTTTCTTGTGGTTGTCAGAGGTCGGGGGAATGGATTCGACACCAGTTAGTGGCTGGCTGTAGCTACAATACTCCTGCTGCTGGATTATTCTGTTCTGTTTCTCTCTTGTCCCAGCCTGACACTTGCCTGCAAGTGCCTTTGATTAAGGAGATGAGTGACTTTGCCTGTTCTATTGATCAGAATAAATTACCAGCAGCTAATTTATGGACCTCACAAAAGTGCCTTTGACATGGTGAATTGTGCTCTGTTGTTCAGGTAATTGGGTTGTCAGGAAATGTTACTGGTTGCTATACAGTTATCTCTCATAGAATATTGGCCTGTTTCATGGAAATGGACAAAATCTTTTAGACTTCCAGTTCCCAGGATGTCGTGAAGACTCTGAGTAAGAAGCACATAAGCGTTCTTCTTGATAGTAGTGATTGTAGTAAGAACATTTTGACCGCTACATGTTGATTTCCCATCCCTGGTTTCTGTAAAAAAGAAAATTACTTCTCTTGTACTTGCGGGTTCACAGGGCTTGGTGGTTGCCAGCATTTGCAGATCTAGCTTAAAATGGGAGAAAACCATGCTGCTTAGGACAGTATTCCTTCCAACAGTGAGATTCAAAATCTTATCACTGGCTTTTTGGTGTCTGAGAAGGATAGAAAAATGCTCACATTTTTTTCTGGGTATGTTGCAAAGACGACAAAGATGAACTTCGTTCTGTCACACCACTAGAGAACACAGAAAACACCCAGGGACAACAAATGGGCAGAGGGAAAGTGTACACGTGGTTGTTTTTACAGCCAACTTCCACACTTGCAGGCCACGACATCTGCAAAAGCGAGAAAAATGCAAACAAAGGATCCTCGTGAGGCTGAAAAATAAAAGCAGCACAGGAGCTCACTTGGGGTGTTTGCGTGAAGAGCTCCTACCTGATAAAGTCTGGACTGTTGTTTTCCTCTAATGCTGTGAAATGGGAATTTTCTATTTGAAATTACAGGAGGCAAAGAAATTTTTTAGCTTAAGACAGAAACGGCAAACAAATAATCCTTTCTGATGATGCCTTCCTGCGGCTGTTTCTGCACATGCTGTGTTTGAATACACACGCGTTGGTCAGACAGCAGTTTGGCGTTCTTAACTCAGTGTTCACTTCCTCAAGTAAGAGGCACACACAAAGACGGTTTGGTTTCTTTTTTGGATACTGGATCTAGATCAGCGGGAGGGTGGATGATAATAGCAGCTGCAGGAAAGTTTAGGTGATCAGATGGCTCTTGCGTTTAGCTTTGAACGCAGTGAGAACTGGGGCAGTTCTTCTCTACGAGTATGTCTCGCTGTTCATGTCCTGCTGCAGTGAGGTTCTTCCTGTTTTTGTCTCCCTGCTGCCCCAAGGGAATGGCACTGACATAGGGATTCAGTAGAAGGTGGTCCTTTGGGTCGCAAAACCTGTGTCTGTTCAAAGCCTGGAAGAGCACAGACTGGGAATGTTTGATGGGGAGTCACTGCAGGGAGAGGCAATGTGGGATGCTGTATACACGGCAGGGCACTTCTGCATATGCCCGTGTCACAGCTTTCACCTCTAACATCGGGAGTCAGACCCCTAGAGCCTTGATGTGATGGCAGGGTGGGAGCCTCCCTGGGCCAGCCACGGACAGGAATAACAGAGGAGTGCGTGTGTGCTCTCCCTACCGTGCTGGCCACGTGCAGTGAGAACTGGAATGGCCCCAGGCTGCTGGTGGACCTGCCAGCAGGCTGCTGGGCTTTGCTGCTCTCCGGGCCCTACAAGAGCAGCACAGAGTGGGTGGGGTGGTTGTGTTCATAGCCCTGAGCTCTGGGGGTCTCGTCTCGGGAAATGCCAGACCTTTTCGATTCCCGTGGGAACTGTCTCTCGGCATCCCACACGACTGCTCCACGAGCTCCGTGTTAGACAGCCGGTCAGGTCCTGGTGGGGTTGGAAAGAGAGAGCTGCGCCAGCGGGAGCTTGGTGACCTTTGGAAGCTCTCCGGCCGACGTCTGCATCAGTTTCTCTATATGCAGGGCTAGTTTCTCTCCTCGGAAGAACTCCATGCTTACACCAGAAGTGTGTCCACCCACCAACTTTATAGACCTCAGGGGGAAGGAATGGTTAAGGAAAAGCTTTTCTCCACCCGATTCAGTCCGGTCCCAGTACTGATAGCTGAAGCAGGGCTGTGGGCAGCCCCACTCCGCCGTTGCTTCTGTAGGAGCTCTGTGATTCTTAGAACTCTCCTGAGTTTGAGGTTATCAAGCGCCCCTTGTTGCAGCTGCATCAGCTGCAGAATGGCTCATTTACCGAGCACAACAACGGGCTCCTGTTTGGGCAAGATTCCACTGGCAGCCCGTGCCTGACCTGGAGACCTTTGATATTTTGGCTGGCAGACTAGTTGTCTGTGCCCTGCTTGGTATTTCTCTGTAAAATATGCACTAGGTTGTCCTTTCTTGAGGAGACATTACCCCTCGTCCCACTCATTCCCGAGTCCATCACTGCGAATGCGCTTAGCCAGAAGGCCCACCCCTTTCTGCACTGAGCATGCGAACCCACTGCTTCCTCGCCAGACAGCACAGCATTCCAGCGCAGGAGGGGTCCCTGAGGTCCTGCAGCTGGACACATCTGCATTTCCAGCTGTGCTTCCTGCAGGGGACATTTCAGAACTACAGTGCAGCTGCGTACTGCCAGCATCAACGAACAGGAGAGGCCCGAGACGTTGGGCTGGTGTTCCCAGTGGACCCTCACACCGCTGCTTTTTGTGGGTAGCTTTGCCTGCTGTTACCCCAAGACACGCTGGAGGAATTCATGAATTGTTCTGACGGGAAGAGCACACTTGCCTATACCATGCCTACCTTTTGATCTTGTTGATATTTTGATCTACTTCTTGCCTTTGAACTTACATGGAGTTTTCTTTTTCCTCCTCTTCTTTAGAGCAGAAGGTCAAGAGAGGCATGGAGCTTGAAAGAATCATTCGAGACACGCTGACACGCTTCATCCAGTCCCACATCCCTGCAGCAGACCTCAGGTATGTTGAGATAGGAAGATCGAATATTGTTATTGTAGCTTGAACCAGGCGTTAATTGTCCCTCTGGACATTACACTGAACCCTGTAGCTGTTCTGTACTTTGTGTTGCCTTTCCGTAAGTCAGATCCAGCATGCACAGGCTCTGGTGGGAATGCTTGGAGAGCTACCGTTTAGCATTGCAATCTGGGAATGCCATTTCTTTGACGACGAAGATGATTAATTTCCTGTACACTAATGCACATTAGGATATGGGATTCCCTTCATTCCACGGTGCTCCCAAAGGGCTTTCTGAGCAGCGTAATGCTCTGTCAGGGATCAACCTGTTTTGAACTCTGCCTGCGTGCAGAGCTACAGCCACCGTGAGGCTGGAACACAGCAGCTGGTGGCAGCAGTGACACAAGCGTGGAGAGCAGCAAGCGGAGAACCCAGCATCCCACAAAAATGGCAACTTGACAGAATATGATGACCTCACCTGAAATGCCAGTCCGTGTAGAGCAGTCAGGGTTTGAGCACTCGGAATATTTTGGCTAAACTCAGCTCAAGGGCCTGCAGGAGCACAGCCTCTGGGCACACGCTGGGGCCCTCACTCAGTGCTGCCCAGGAAGCAGGACAGCACGCAGGATTTCATCTGTAAATGCTTCCCACTCGATCACTGACCACCTGCTACCTGGCTTTACTGGTGGGTTCTGCCCATAAGATACAGGCGACATAGGTCCTACTGCTGCTGTACTAGAAAGACACAAGGTTAGGGGGAATGGGGACAGTGAGAGAAAGAAAAAATGGTCCTGTTGACTCTGCTGCCACGTCCTGTGTTCTCTCTGTCTCCAGTGGGATGGATGATGTTTTCTTCTCTTACATCACGGGTGTCCTGGAAGAGCTGGGCTCACCAGAGTCCTCCGAGGAGACTTTTGACATGGACACCTTTGTGGAAATGATGGAGGCGTATATCCCTGGTTTTGCAGAAATCCACAGGTATGTAAATGTTACTTACTTTGGGGGCCTGGACCCAAGCCCCTCAGTACCATAAATTCTTCTGTTAAACCCAGCTGAAGACGTGTTATTACCAAACCTGTGCCATTATGATTAAGTCAGGCTTTACCTGAATACACAGATGCTAATCCCAGTATAGTCTGCAAGTAGGTCCTTGGCCATCTGAAATACCAGTTTATTTTATTGGGCTTCCCATCAAGCCGTTCTATAAAGAAGTAGCTAAGTAGGATAGGCTACTGCTCTTATTCCTCACACTAATTATACAGCTTCTGTCTCTTGCAGTGGGGATGTTTGTGAAATGATGTTCTCCCTCTCTGAAAGGCTTGGTGAAGCTCGCAACAAAGGTGAGTTACACAGACAATTTCAGCACAAGAAGATATATTCTGCACTTGTTTTCGGTCTTATTGTTTGGAGTTGAGCAATGTCACAGGATAAAATACAATCTTGTTTGCCACAGTTAGGAGCTCATAAGGTAGCCTGCATTGACTGACTTGTTTTTTAGTGCTCATTCGGGTTTTTGATACCAGCACGTGGGAGGTTTGAGTCATATGGAATACTGTCCAGGACATACTGGGGTGAAAAACACTTGATCAGATCTCTAAACACCTCTGTTGAGATCAAATCCAGAGTAAGAAGAAACAGCAGATAGCGTGCTACTTGTTGAAATTCTACTGTAGGTTAATTCTGCAAGTGAGGATTTCTGCCTGCCTCTGATAGCCATCTGCCTAAGCGACACTGCCACTGGGCAGCCCGTGTCAGGTGCATCAGCAAATAGAGAGTCCAGCTGATCACCTGTATCCCTTCTAGACCTGGAGCATCCTCCAAGCTCACTTCCCATTCACAGATGGAAAGTCAGCAGTGATGTGCTCTGGCCTGCACTACGCAGGACTGTGGAGGACTACACTAACCCAGTGGCACTTTCTAACCTCAGCACTCACAGATCAGCTGCAATGCTATATTAATCAGCCCCAAAAGTACTTCCCACAAAGCACAGACAGGTGAAGTGCCTGGATATTAAACCTTTCAAGACACACAGTCTGGGGTTTGCTTATCTAGCAACATCGCTGCTGTCTTGCCAGAAGGCTACACAGTATAGAACAGGCAGTCCTGTCTTTTATCTTACTTGCTGCTTTCTTGAACTTGACAAAATCTACTGCTCTTGCTCTGGTCCCCTGCATCCTACCCTTTGAGGATCCTGATGTAGCCAGAGTGTGGAAGGACAGCACCGTCCCAGTTTTAGAGAGGACAGAACAGAGGTGAAACGATTCTTTGTACAGCGACACAGAAAGAGCCTGTGAAGGGAGATGCACCAGAGTGACCTGGTCTCAGGATGTGCTGGCTCATGTACAGCCTGGAGACTACCGGAGGGTATTCCCAAATTTAAACATCAAAACCACGTCTTAGTTCGAAGTCAGAGCAAACACCAGGAATTCTTAGAAGTGTAACAAAAACACTGAAAGTATCCGCAGCCAAAGCGCTAGAGAGCCAAGAACTGACGGGCAGAATTGAATTTGCCAGCAGCCAGTGTCCAGTAAGGCCTGGCAGTGCAGTGCTCGGGCACTCCAGCCTGCCCTGGCACTGCCTTCCTGCAGGTCAGTGTGAGCAGAGCTGCAGCCCTCCCCGCCGAGGGCAGGAGGAGCAGTCATGCTTCCCAGTCTTGTCACTTAAGAAGCAATTTCCTTTGGCACACAATGCACTAGTGATCTAATGCCAACAGAAAGCACAGAGCTCTAGCCTTCGAGGGACTAATCCTCAGGAGATGTCACTATGTCTTTAAGAAAAACCTGGCCAAAAGGCTGTGGAAAGCAGGAGTGAAGCACCCTCTGAAGATCTGACCAAGGGCCGGGAGCCTGGAGCTGGAGCCTGCAACGGGGAAAGGCTGTGCACTCCGACAGACAGAGCCAGGGCCCAGGTATGAGCACCCATGGAGCAGCAGGACCTCCAGGACAGTCACCTGGTGTGTGGCTACCAGCACCACCCGAGGGCATTTTGTGGTTCTGGAAGGAACCACAGCGTAGGCTGTGACACAGCATCACCGGTGCCTGTGATCTCCTCCACTGTATGGCCTGAGCAAGCCTGCGTCAGTAAGAGGAAAGAGAAAATGGCGTGCTGATGGAAGAGCATGAGCCATCGCTCTGGCTCATCCATTCCAGCCGCCGGAAAGGATGAGCCACAGTGATGGTCGAGAGAGCCTGTCCCCGTGCCCTCGGCAATCCCACAGCCGCACCGTGGGGATGCCCCTGCAGCGCTAGCCAGGCTTCACCCCGTTCCCCTAGCCTCGCTCCACAGTTTGAGCTGGATCACCATTTCTCTCCCCAGCTGTCGTGCAGTATCTGCACGGGAAGCGGTTGCGTCTGGGTGTCAGTCCCGAAGACACCAGTCCCACCCTCGGTGACCTTCCGTGCTGTGCCCGTACTGAGCTATACAGCACGGAGTCGCCAGCCCCGCAGCCCCAGTCGGCATGACCCGGCAGATCCCCTGCCTCCTTCCCCCACGCTCTGCTTGCTGTTTCTCCCGTGCTGATCTCTTCCTGCTCTGCAGCGCAGTCATTCTGTGCTCACAGCCTTCTGGCAAACGCTGCTGCTGCGCTTCCTTCTGGTGTAGCCACAGGCCTTGAGCAGTCCCTTCCCTTTCTGATCAAAGCACATAGAGCTTCACAAGGTGAGCAGGAGTTCAAGCATTCGCACCACAGCATCCAGAAAGCGCACTCCTGAGGAGACACATAGCACGGCCACACAGATGAGCCAGTTAACGGCAGCCCTACTTTAAAGAGTTGAAATACAGAGGGAGGAGAGCAAGTAAGAGTGATGCTTGGTCCTTGCAGAGATACAATCCCCCATTAGCTTCAGGAATGGGATTTAGTCACTTTTGTAAGGAGACAGCGCCTTCAGCTAAGGGCAAGCTGAAATTCCTGACAATGCGAAACCAGAGAGGCCCTTTTCGAATGCCCTCGCCTTGCTGCATCCCCAGCTTACCTCCATCTCTTGCTCCAACCAGGAAGGCGACGACTTGAAGGACGGGGTGGAGCTGCTGCTGGAGATGTTCCCAGCCTGTACCATGAGCCAGGCAGAGAAGGCGCTCGCCATGGCCTTGGGGAACTTGGAGGAGGCCGTGCAGTTGATTGTGGAGGAGAAGGTGGAGATTGGCCCAGCAGGTGCGAGTGTGAAGGTACTGTACTCCGAGCTGGGTTGCAGCGGGTCGAGGAGCAGGGCAGAGCTGGGCACACCGGTGTCCCAGCTGTCTGCTGCAAGCGGAAGCTTTGACTGCAGGAGCATCACCCAGAGCAACAGTCCCTCTCCCTCTGTCCCTCGGCTGAGCATGGGCCATGCCCAGAGCTGAGGGGCCAGAACCCCCTTCCCGCAAGGGCCAGAGCAGGCCAGGCTAGCTGGGGGAAGCCGCACGCCCCGCATGCTGTGCTGCTCATGCGCCCGCTTTGTCTCCTCCCAGGAGCTGGCACGGCCCCGCAGAGCACCCAACCACGAGGAACTGAAACAGGTTATCCTACAGAAGTAAGTACCCAGCAGCAAAGAACCCCTTATTCTGCTCCCTGTAAAGGAGGAGGTGCTGGTTTGGGGAAGGTCAGAATGAGAACACGGTCTGTAAGGAACTTGGGGCGTACAATGCTTAGAAAGGATGCCGTGACGCTGACTGGGGTGTAGCCAAACACATCTACGCACAAACATAATCACCAGGTGGGAAGAAACAGGTCTGGGTTTCTTCGAGAGCGCTGGCACAGAGAGGTTACCTGCAGCAGCTGGGTCCCAGCGCGGGCTGCCTGCGAGGCTCCAGCCTCCTGCAGGTACAGTGTAAGTCACAGTGCTGCCAGCTGAGGTCCGGGTTAAAGGTCCAAGGCACAGACGTCGTGCTGCAGCTCAGGTAACACACGGCGGCTTGTAGAACAACAGCAGTTCATTCATACCTCTGTCCTTGGAGACAGGCCAAACAAGGCTAAAGATATCTGTAAGAGACTGCCTGCACAGCAACACTGGGAAGATTAAATCTCAGTTGCTGAAGGTGTGAATTCAATGCATTTGAAGAAACCTCTCTGAAGTCCCTCTGTGGACTTTGCGGGAATGAAAACAGCTTTAGATTGGTTTACCTTTGTTCATTTCCGAAAGCATTTAATTCTCAATAGGAGAGCCCACACTGTGGTTTCATCGATCCACTTTAAGATCTCAGCTTTCACGAGCATCCTCCTGTGGGCATGCAGATTCCACATGCCTATCCAACCACATCTTTTCCTCCACTTTACATCCTCCCCAGTGACAGAATAAACAGCCGATGGTTTAGGGAAGATAAAGCAAGGCAGAATGGCATCTGGGCAGCGTTAGCAATCCCTGCCCTTGCCCATCTCCTCTGCAGGCTTGTTTCGGAGTAACACGCAAGGGGACAAAAAAGCACCAGCTGCTAGTTACGTTTCTGGGAACTTCACTTTAATGACATTTTGGCAATATCCTGTACTTTAAACATCACTCAAGCACAGGTACAGAGAGCAGATCACCATAGCTGGAGATACACAGGAGCAACTGTACAACTACTGAGGGAGAAGTCGTGGTCAGCTCTGCTGTCCGCCTACTAAACCAGCACCAGTCTCAAGAGTAGTAACTCGGCAGTACAGCAAGCAGATGCTTGGGCCCTAACGTTTCAGTCACACAAGGAATGAGGTGATGCTTTTATGAAGTTGCTTCCAGCACAGACCTGTTTTGTAGTCGAGTAGTAGGGGTGTGAAAGGAACACCATCTCTGCATGGCAGCCGCAGCCACCTTGGCCCTGTAATCTCACCTCTGTCTCCTTTGGCCGCCGTCGCTTGGGCTGAGAAGCAGCAAAGCTGCCCCAGTGGCAGAGCACACCAGACCTCGGCACGCCTCGGCTCTGCAGGGGCTGTCGGCGTTCTCGGCAGCCTGAGCCTTCGATACCCTCGACATACAGCTGAGGATGCTACTCCAGGAGAATCCTGCTGCATTCTCACCAGAAGGGTGACACACTTCTTGCCCGTTCCATCCGGAGGGGAACGTTACATGCTCCTAGCTGCAATCTAGGCAAGTAGGACACGTTGCGCAGCCACAAGCCAGCCCGGGGAGAAAGGACACAGGCTGTGAGTAGCCCCAGGGAATGCACGTTAGAGTGCTCACCCAGCGCTTCTTGTGTTCCAGGTACATGATGGTGGATAGTGCAGACGATCAGAAAACACATCGGCCGGCCCCACCCAAAGAGGTAAGAGCAGTGGTCCCAGCTCACCAGCAGTTTGAATGTCCTTTGGCTACAAGGTTGAAAAAACAGGCTGCAAGTCCCAAAAGCCAAGGGGCAGGCCAAAGGCAGGAGTGTTCGCAGAGCCCGCCCGTCAGCAAAGGGGAGATGAGCTTCGCTACAGTGCTGCGGGGGCTGTCAGCTGCTGCCATTCCCGACTCGCACGGCTCCTGCTCCGTCCCGTCAGACAGCTTCCTCCCGAGTCTTGGGCAAGATTCCCAGCACAAAGGATGGGTAGAGCAGCCCACCCCAGCCTTCCTGCACCCACTCCCCACAGCGCAGCTCTGCTTCTGCTTGTCCTCCCCCTGCCCCTAGCAGTGTGGCCAGCTGCCGACTCGCTGTTAATGTCTTTCCTCTCCAGGCTCCCAAGAAGCTGATCCGCTACATCGATAACCAGGTGGTGAGTACAAAGGGAGAGAGGTACAAAGACATCAAGAAGCCCGAGAGCAAGGAGATGAAGAGAACCTACATCAGCTTCAAACCAGCCAGGAAGTACAAGTTCCACTGACAGCCAGGTCCTGCTCCTCCAGCCAGGCACGGCAGGATGGACGCACGGCACGAGGGATGAGGGGACTCCTCTGCCTGCCGCTAACTGGGACTAACCTGGGAGCCGGCACACTGCTTTCAGCTTCCTCAACTAACCCAGGTGACAAGGAGGAGCCGTCCCTCCTTGCACAGCTGTCCCTCTGCGCCCAGGAGCACGCCGCAGCAGCTCTCCTCCGGGGCCTGGGCATTCTCTGCTATTCCTTGCATGGGACTTTTTTAGATCTAAGATGTGGCTTGTGCTTTTACAGCAAGCTTTTTACAAGTCTGTGTGCACTGTTGCTTTAAACTAAGTGCCAGTGTTAATAAAGATGATGTGAGTTGATGTGTAGTTCAGCCAGAGCATGCACATGCTTTAAGGACATTGCCTCCAATACCTCCTGGGGCCAGAGATAGGAGCAGGGTCATCCTCTCTTCCCCTAATTACTCTCTTCATCACATCCACCGCAAGGTGTGGCTGGCGGTTGGCTACTAGCAGATACAGGGGCTGAGGCTGAACTCCAGACCAGAACTAGGCTGTCCCTGCCAACGCAGCCTGCAGCACCCCCTAAACCCCAGCTGGCAGCATGGCCAGGGCTCCTGCCGTTTCTCACCGCTGCCGAGTGCCGAAGCGCCGGCCTCGCGACAGAGCAGGGTATAGTGCCAGGCCTGGGCACCGCTGAAATGTGAAGTCAGAAGCTGGAAGAAACAAACGGCAATGGCCAAGTGCTTTCAGTGACAGCACAGCTAGGTTTGGTGGTTTTCTGTCAGTGAAACTGCAGGTGGGAGGGTGTTCCCCCCAAAAACAACTCCCACCTTGCAGCAGCCTGAACCAGCGCCCTAGGCCTGGACAGACAGGCTGCCAGCACGGGGGCCATGCCAGCCCTGCCGCCAGTGCCCACGGGCTGGGGCCAGGCCCACTGCCCTGCTCCCGGAGGGGCCTGCCCTCTCCCCAGAGGAGGGCTGCGGCTGCTCTCCTTTCTGTTCCGGCTGGTCTGGTTTGCTGCGCAGCTCCGCTGGCATGCCCTGCGCACCCACCCCTGGGGACACTCCCAGCAAACACGCTCCTGCTCTCTGGACAGCTGCCGCTTAAAGATTTAAAATACAACAAATGATAAATCCTATCTATTAGCCGGCCTGGCCAAGGCCTGTTCAGCACCATGGTGTTCCTGCAAGTCACGCACTCTCGACACGCCACTGCAGAGGGAGTTACTTTCCCCGGAGGCACCAGCAAAGCCCACTCACGAACACCCAGTGGCTGCCAAACAGCCCCAGAGGACAGAG